AATCGCTCGAAGAGGAAGTTATATGAAATGAAACGGAAAAAGAATACTAAAATAAGACCATAACTGTGCAACTTTCAGTGGTATATAGATTGGATGAAAGCATGTTCCGTGCAGCATCATGTTGGGACACACTGACTTGCTATTTTCTAACCGATTCGTGCAAGTTGATACATGGAGACGACTCTAAAATCTTATGTAAAAATTATAGATATATTGACAATTTTATTGGTGTGATTTCTACTTTTATCCAACCTTTGTTAGTTGAAATTTTATGCTCGCTAGTTGATTAACGCAGAATACTGTATACAACTACTGCACTCAAACTTATAGAACCCCACAGTCACAAATCAGAAAACAGAAGTAAGCTGGAGAAGTGTTTGTTGGATAAGCATTAAAATGTACAGAAAACCATGGGTATTTATAGATATTATTATTATAATCCAGCCAGTTTACAAAGGGGCATACTACGCTGCTGTCCAAATGTAGCATGCCACGCTGATATTCTAGGAAGCCCCATCACGTTCTAATTGGTTGGAAACTCTTTGGCTACTTTTGGGTTTACTGATACTCTGTCGTGCTTCTCGCAAGCCGTCCCAACAGTGATTTTATCTGTTTGACCAAATGGAAAGAAGTAGGAGGGGGATTCGGACCTGTAATCCACTGCAATGCTTATGTGTTGTTGAGGTATCTTATATTAACTCTAGTGAATAACTCAGCTATCTTGAGTGTGCATCATTCTTTTGTCTATCGATTTTAATTGTGTGCTTGATACATGTCCCAAATGCTCCTTGGACTCTGTAAAAAACTTTTTCCAATCTTCACACGAATTTTCACGGTTCCCATCGATTCTTTCCGAGGCATAACTTAATGAACACGCTATCGTCAGCGTTAAAACTTCGGACATTAAGACTTGGTCTGCGCCAACATGGCGCTGGAAATAGTTCGAATAGGTCTTCCAAATATGGCTCCAGAGGGGGATTTTCCACCTTGGACAGTTGGGTTTGGAGTGCTTCTCTAAGCCGTCAAAAATTTTATCATAACCTATTTAGTTTTACTCCCATTCCCCCTCTCAGTAATGCTCCCTTAAAATTATCTACTAAACGTTCTGCTTTTCCATTCAATTGAGGATGATAGGGAAAAGAACGTAGATGTGTTATGCTACAAAAATACTTAAATGAGTCTGCGATGAATTGTGGGCCATTATCAGTCAATAAGGTTTCTGGGACTCCAAAACAGCTACACGAAGTAGGCGATTTGTGGATTGTTTCTGAGGCTGTACACTTAGGCATACTATATACTTCCGGCTACTTCGTAAATGCATCCACAATAATTAAAAACATTTTATCTTGAATCGAACCGGCGAAATCTTCCAGGCTTTTGAAGACGTGGGCATAGCCGTGGTTCGCATTTCGAAGGGTTTTTAGCAACTTGAAGACGTGATAGATAGTTACAGCATTTGTCTTCGATGTCCTTGCCCATTGAGCACCAATAAGTATAACTTAGAGCCAATGATTTCATCATGTTGATTCCAGGGTGACCACTGAGAAATGGATTGAGAATGTTGTGACGCAATGATTCTGGAATAACAGTTTGATCACCGAACGTAATATATGAGTCGACAAACATTAGTGAGTCATGTCGACGAAAATATTGCGAACGTTCTCCTCCAAGACGGTTGTTTGGTCGTTCGGTAGAAAGATAACACTTAACTCTACCCAATGTCTTATCAGTTTCAGTGATTTTCTTGATAGCTTCGAAGGCAGCCGGAAGTCCATCGATTACGTTCTTCAAATACACGATGAGCTTCTTTCTCAGCTTTTATGTTTGCTACACGTGTTTTCTGGCGTTCTTGACCGGCAACCTGTTAATCTTGATAACGCGTCAGCTTCCCAGAAAGCGATAGTAGACTGATAGCAGACTTGATCGTGAAATCGCAACCCAGATGTCTTGTTGCTCATCGTTGTAGTCGGTTAGTCGTGTGAACAGGAATCCCTTTCTTCCACCCAAATACTGTGAGTAATAGCTTATGGTCTGCTGGCAGGGTGAAATGCTGACCAAATATCATTTTGTGAATTCTTTTTAAGTTTCTGTTCAAACGTGCTCTGATTTGTGGACTTATCTAATTAAGTAGTGTCGAATAATACCGAACAATAAGTGTAAATGGGTCAAAATAAGAGAATTCGAGACAACACCTAAACTAATATTGTTTCTCAAGTTATCAGGTAACAAATCGGAAATTCATAAGTGTTAGGCATCTTTTCACCATTATATTTGAGGCCATTTAAATTACACTAACTCCGACTAAACTTATCGATCACGTTCCAAGCATTTCTGCCCTGGAATAACAATGACTAGGCGTTAGGTAGTTTGTCGTAACTCCTCATGTTCAGTCATGGCTAAAGTTGATTATTATATAACGTTGATCAGTATGTAGACCCAGCATGTCCAACAGCTTGGTCATAACCTGTATGTTCTATATCATTCCCATTTACACACCTAAATATAACTAGTTGGTGAGATTCTACCCTAGAAGACCGCCACGAGACAGGATGGCTGGACCACCAAGTTACAGTGAGCCGAGATAGGTGAGACTTGGTTCTGCCTCACTATCTGAATAGAGATGTATTGAACTGCTAGTGTGGTCATATAAATCACAGGGAATATTAATCGAGATGTAAATTAGTTACTTAAGTTGACCAAATATTTGTATGACGAAAAATATTGGAGACTGAAGTGAATGATCCTTGAACTTTATTCGACGTTGACATCAGTAAAGATGTCTCTCACACTCAACAAATTTTCAGCAGAATAGCACTCCGTCGTAAAGTCTCTCTGTCAAGGTCACATTATTGAAAATTTACATTAACTTTTTGTCAACATTAACACCAAACTTTTGACAGAGAAGTCTGATAAGCCCGTTTGAATAATTAAGCAATTTAGAGTCGGTAACACCAAAATATAGGTCCTCATTTCATTATTTACAAGTTTCCACTTCATATCGATAGAGTCCGCACAAAAATGTAGGTTGACGTCTTACAAATGAGTGTTTATAAATTGAGGATTTCGCCCTCGAAACATATCATAATAGGACTTTCTACTGATTCCTTCAAAAGAAGGTTTTATATTGACTTTAGTTTCATCTGTTCTAAGGAAGATCACTATGGGAGTTTTTCATCTAATTACTCCCATCATTAAAAATTATGAATTATCTTTTCAGATTTCTGCGGGATCACAGATGAAATTACTGTACTCCGTAACCAATAGCCTTCCCAAACGAATACAAATTCTTTCAACATTTTTCCGACAGAATGCAGGAAACTTAAAAGAGGCAACATCCGAATTTCAGTCTCAGGTAGGCTTGTGTTTTGTCCGAAGGTATGTTGTGTGTTGAGGGAGCATATAAAGTAGTGTATGTGATAAACTAAAACGGAGAAAAAGTGAGTCGACTGAGCACACTAATTGGTTGTAGTTATATTTAATGGTTAAATAAGCTATTGATAACACAGAGACGAGGTTGTAGCGTGGCGTCGCGTCGTGATTGACTATGAACACCGCTACCAAGAAACACGTGCCAAATAGATCAGAGGGCGTAAGAAGCTCGTTCCAAATGACTCCATAAAATCCCGGAGAAGCCGAATACCAGAAGACAGTTAATGGACCAAGTCGAGGTGTATATTTGCTGGCGATCTCGTGGCATCGAAAGGATACCGAGATCGTGCCAGGATACAACCTTGGTTACAGAACGTAACCGAATTCGCGCGAAGTTACAATCGAAGTGTAAGTATAAGAATGGAAGCACAAAATAGCTGTCATTAGCACAGTCAAACAAAAGCACGTTAAAACAAACACTGGTACAGCTGGTTATAATAATAATTGTTTTTATTAAACCAGTCGTGTTCTCGTGATAAACGTGAGTCACTACAAGGTCATGACAATCTAATGACCTAGGCTAAAAGTTAATGGACTAAGATTTCAGATGCGCTATGATCTCATTGATTCATAACACGATTAGCGTACGTAATATCCATAATAACATGTATAAAAACTTATTTTCACTAAAACCACCAGATAAGCCTAATACGCCAGGTTCAAATGAAGATAATATTTGAAATTTTTAAGAGAATTCACGATTTTTTCCATCCGAATTCTATCATTTGCCCGACGACTGAATGTTACCACACACATTGATATACTGGGAAATTTCCTCTCCTTCAAAATCACTTTCACTAAGACGGGAATCGAGAGTAAGTCCTTAAGGTCCACGAAAACTATTTAATTGAAAGTTTTCACCATACCATCAACACTAAATTCTCAAACTGCTTATAGATACTTCTTTTTCCACAGATGTTTGAAATGGCACATCAGTAATTTGGCGCTAGTTTCAATCTGGGACCTTGGTCATCTGGAATTTTCGTACGATAGCTTAGGGTCGAAAATTCTGCGATGGAGCAAACCTGTTATTATAAAATTTTAGGTATTGAAAAAACTGCTTCAGGTGATGAGATAAAGAAGGCGTATCGCCGACTGGCTCTTAAATGGCATCCAGACAAGAACCCAGACAAAAAGGAAGAAGCAGAAAAATGCTTTAAACTCATAAGTGAGGCATATGAAGTACTGTCGGATCCCAAGAAGCGTGACATATATGACAGACGCGGCAGGGGTCCTCATGCTGGCGAGGCATTCGTATTTGAGGATTCTGATCCTTTCGCAATGTTTACGCGGTTCCACTTCCGAGATCCCATGGATATATTCAGAGAAGTTTTTGCTGGCTCTGGGCTCGATTCTTTCTTTGGCCCAGTATTCATGACTTCCAATACGGTCCTCAGTTGGGTCGAACTCACAGGTCCAACTCTCATCGCAACGCTGGGCGACAATCCGGATCTCCTTATCATCATGCCGGACGTTCTAGTCAAGTGCAGAGCTATGATCCCATGCTCGCAAACCCTTTCATGGGTGGACTCTTTGACTCTCCGTTTGGTGGGTCACTGTTTAGTCCTTTGATGGCTTTTACCGATTCTGGGTTCGGAAATCCCCAGGGTTCCTCATCAACCTCCATCTTCAGTAGCTTTGGTGGGTCTTCATGTGCGGGTGGTTTCAGGTCAGTTTCAACATCGTCCAAGTACGTAAATGGGAAAATGGTTCGTGTGACAAAAGTGGTGGAGAATGGTACTGAGACCATTACGGAAGAAGTAGATGGTCAAGTAACCAACCGAACTGTCCGTCAATGTGGAAATGGAGCCCTGCAAGCAATGTGATTTATCTTCACACGAAATATACTTTGTTCGCATAGTAAAACTATATTAATTTTGTATAATCAGTTTCACAGTTATTTGTTGAGGTTGATAAAGTAATATTTATGTTGTCTAAATGACTGTCTTAATGCGTCCAATTTACTGTTACGTCTATTGGATACTTTGTTCTTCAACTGCACTTAAGACATACCACATTCGAATCCTCTTATAATACTTATATAAAATAAATATATCCCACTGATTTTGTTGTTTATTTTCACTTTTTATTTCAAGGTATGATATTCGTGTGGAATCGCTTAGTTGTGTCGTCAAGTCTCGGTTAGCTAAAATCATGTAAGTTCATAGATTAACTTATCCGCAGCTCAATCTATTAATATTTGGCCGTAGCCCATGTTTCATCTTTTATTAGCCATTAGTGCATCTTATGGGGTAATTTACTAATTCAAAGCTGTCAGACTTCACGATATTTGCGAATATCTAATTTTCCGACTAGCTTTAATCAGTATCGTGAGAGTGCGAACTACGTTTTCAATTAAGTCACTGCTGCCATCACCTGCCAGTCTTTTTTGAAACTCAGTTCTCTAAATCCAAGAAGTAATTTACCAATCTCCAAAACAAGTTCACCGTACTGACAGTAAAATATGTGACTGCTGGTCCAGTGAATGAACGACCTAGGTTCGTCCAACAGGAAGAGTGCTTCGAACTGATGTTTTAGTGATAACTAACTGACAGTGCAATGGCTGGTAATGTTACTTATCTATATTAGTTGAACTTGATATTAACAAATACGAAATTTTAACCGTGTAGTTAGTTCCTAGTGGATTAAATTTTTTCCTAAACTCACCCCACCGATGAAGTTGGAGTAATTTTGTGCAGCTAATATGTCGCTATCTGGCGTACTTGTATCTAAGCAACGTGTGTACGCGTTAATGGTGTGATATCATTTCTTTTTACATTATTTGTAATAGCCGCAGTGAATATCTTTGTATACTGTATATTAGAGGTATGTTAGCAAGTATTGTGGCTTATATGCAAGCCAGATCTCCGATGAATTAGAACTACATTGCCATATATTTACTAATGTAGTTCATATGTTGTTAGTCCTCAAATGTAGTCACCGATTTCAAACTCCAGTGACCGAATCTTGCAACGTCTGTTGATCACAGATGTCTTAGAAATATTGCTCGCATCTGCTGGAACCACCGGGTAAGCAATAGAGAGGTTAGACGCAAGATGTTAGGGAATGATGGTAAATCAGTTGGTGAACTTGTAAATCTTCATGCACTGAGATGGTTGGACCACGTGTTACGAATGCCAGAACACCGATTACCACGACGCACAATGCTGACTAGTACTGGAAACGGTTGGAAGAAAGTTAGGGGTGACCAAACCAAAACGTGGCATCAATCCTTGAAGTCACTAGATTCTGGTCTGAGTCATGTTGGTAGATGCAAACTATTTGGTTGGGGCCCGCGCGACTATCATAACCAATGGTTGGAGACTCTGGGTGACATGGCTCAGGATCGATCACAATGGAGTAGGTGTATGCACTCTATGTCTTCCCTTAAACAATGAGATTGAAATCGCTTCATATCTTTCTTTCTATGATCTAATTCTTTCTTCCTGTACTATATCCTTATATGCACTCTTTCTTTTATATATTATCACCATTGAATTAACTACTTCTATGGATTCGGTGTTCGTCTTGTTGTGTTAATGAGGTATGGCAACTTGGATCGATGCGTATACGTGCCTGGTCCTACGTTGTAGCTGACAGACTGGCAACGTCTGTTTACGTAAAACAGTGTCTGGTAGTTTAGCATTGGTAAAGTGTTCACCATGGATATTTACCATCCTTAACAATTCTGCCTTTCCACTAGCGAAAGTTTAAGAGGGTCAGTCATAAAATTGGGGTTCCTCACCTCTCTGGTTATCGGTCTTACTGATAGGGCTTAAAAATAATAAATTCGACAAGAAAACAAATACATATATTTACACAGTGACCTTATGTGATGCCTCAAGCTGTTGTTATTGTGATTTCTAGCTTTTTCAACTTGTTGCGACTATGGGAAATTACCCAGTTACTTTTCTAAGTTTCCGTAGAAATGTCCCTCCACGATGTTACTATTTAGGAAATTTCGGTTGTTTATTAACCCCCAACGGTGCTCAAGCATATATCTACCACCAACCTGTATCCCAACAGTTTTATGTAACTAGCCATTCACTAGATACGTCAGGAAACACAATCAAGGTTAATGAATAAAGCTCACGAAATAGTCTTCATGGCCACTAGAAGTGCCGTATATATTTACTTGAAAATCTTGACACCTGAACCTCATATTAGATCGAACAGTAAAAATCAATGGTTAGAGCCTAAGTCCCTCACTATATATATGAACTTTTTGAAACTCAAGTGTGGTTACTCTCGTGGCGTCGTTTGGTCAGTACGGTGAACTTCCATGATTTAATCTTAACGTGTCTTTGAATATGACTGAAACTTGTGTTTCTGTAGTTAGATCGAAAAGCAGAGTTAACACTCCAAGTCTGTATCCCACTTACCATCGTCTTGTCCAATAAAACAGGACTGTAAAGATCTAGGATCTGTAGTTTCTGCCCATCCTCGTTCATTGTAGTTCAGACCCAATAAAATGTTAATTCTACCGCAAGCTACCCAGTATCTTTCCAAAACCCAACCACTCAAATTTAATAATTATAGCTGGTGACTTAAGCATATAGAAGGAACTTAACTGAAGCCTTATTCAGAGATGCTTTTGAAATTTAAAATCAACAAACAAATAACCCCAACCGCTTTAAAATTTATACCCTGAAAACCATTTGTTGCTGGAACGTATCAACTGTAGACATAAGGCGGTAAGTTGACTTATCAACCGTCTAAGAAAACCAATAGGGGATCCCCACCTGTTCTTACCCCAAAATTAATCTGATGTAAGAGTACTTCCGCACCTTGTCTCAGCGTACAGAGGATTGCAAGAATTCGAGCTCACTCTGAAAATAGATTTGTCGAGAGTTTATTACAGAAAAGTAGATTAGCATTTCATAACGTGTAAAGTTTATTTTAAGTTACCCTATTATGATCTAAACGCAGTAAGACAATTCAAAATGTTTCTAACACTCAAAGTACAAATCATTGCTGCAGGAATAATCCGCATCAATACATAGTTTGGTAATGATAACCAGCTGGACAAATTGATCGTCCTACCAAGTTTATCAGCTCTGGTCGGTTAGTGACTACAGAAATACTGCATTTTTTGGTCATCGTAAAATTAAGCCACGTATCGAGCGTGCACGTCACCCGATTGTCTACTGAAGAAGTTTTATACGTTTATATACTATGTATGACTTATAATGACAATACAGCCGCTAAGAGCTAAACGCATATTTATGCTGTAAATATTCGATCATAGTTGTCGTCGGAGCATTTCTCAAATATAGTGGAACCTTCGAGTTAGTGATGGAAGTTTCTGGCTCGAAACACTAAATAAACTTAAATCAGCTGCAGCGACTGTGACGTGTATTACAAATTCGTAGTGATTTGTGGGCGACAATGATAGTGATTAGTTGTCTGCTTAGTCAAACTTATAGATAGTCTGACAGGCATTAGGTGAGTCATATATTCTCCTATCCTTATTATTATTAATTGTTGTCGATTTTCGGTGTGAAAGTATATTTATGTTCTAGTCAAGCTAACCACTTGATCTGAACTGTGTTGAAGTCCTGTAGAATAGACATTGGGAGGGAATCTGTATAGATATTTGTTTAAGGCAAATTAACGTCCCATTCGTGTAGACAAGAGGAACCGAGCGCTATAATACGTAGTCACCATGTTGGTATTTATGCCATTTTGTCTGGTGTCTGAGCTAATTGAAAAGTTTAAGAGAAGCCGGACCGAGAAATGGCTCTACTACTAGTAGACCATTTGGCTGGCATTTCTCGTCCACTAGCTGCAAGCTCATTTAAAATGATTTGGTAACCAAATCGGTCCCCAACTTACGGCTCTACATTATGTCCTAATGTATGACTAAGATAATCATTTAAGTTAGAAGACATGTTAATGCTGTAAATATTTTGTTAATGATAATTTCGAAGCAGTTTTTACATGTTGTGGAACTCTCAACTTCCATTTTTAAGACTAAGTGTATTAGTCAAGGCTGTAAACTTATATGATTGGCTATGACGCGTTTTACACACGCTTATACTATCGTAGCTATGGTCGTTTGAAGAAGTTCAATAATCACCACCACAAAAGCAAAAGACCAACTGTTGATTTGAGTTGCTGACTTTCTGATGTGTTTTGCGTGGCATTTATTTCAACAAGTAGTTGCCTTGGAGAAATCAGATCTGGAATCAACTAAATGTTATTGGCATGAAGACATCTCATTCTTACAAAGTTACTATCAATAGTTTTGGGTATTCTTTAGCGCCATAACATTTGAACCTGAATTATTGTGATGATTGACAGACTTGTTCATTTAACCACTTTTCTTTATATTGAGATCATGAACCGATCAATGTTAGATCACCATTGAGTACCTAGAAGCACCGGACGGTCGTTTCATCCCAGTATGAAACCTCTCAACAGTGCGCACCCACGATCCCGCGTGCTGGACTCGCACCCTGAAACATGAGTCTCGCGCGAACCTCTAAACCACTGAGTCGGCACCTAGCGGTGTACAGGGTCATGGGCGCGCACTGCTGAGGGGGGTCCTATACTAGGACAAAACGACCGTTCAATGCTTCCACATTTTCAATGGTGGTCTAACACAGATCGGTTCAGGATCCTGTTAAAAACCCAACAATCCCCACAACCCTAAACTGGAAACCATTTTTTCATTTGCCCAACCCTTAGGAAATTACGATATTCCTGCTCCAAAATTATAATAACCTTGGATTCAGAGAATAGTCTTCTGAAATTGCTTATAAGCATACAATGGAGACTCAGCATAAATGACTAGTATAAACCAAAGAGAAATTACAGAGTGAAAATAATTCACCAGCACTTGCAAAAATCTAGACAAAAAAGAAACATTCAAAAATGTAAGTAATGCGGTCATCAATATCTAAGGAGATATAAAACATTGTTGTGCCTTCTCTCCTTTAATCGATCTTAGTCATTATCAAATATCTTCAACCAAAAACTATAATTATCCTGTGGACTCCCAAAGTAAGAGTTTCAAATTAAAAAAACATGTCTTACAGTCAGAGTAACACAAAAGAATACCGAATAGTACACTCGCTGTCTGATAGATAGTAAGGTATATCACCCCAACAATAGAAGTGGAAAGTTTCCTAAGAGTAAACGAGTGTGTTGAACATATTTGAATTCTGCCATCCTGCTAGGATTGGCACGACTCATCAAATAATTTGACTACGCACGACCAGATTACTATTTTTAAACTAAACTACAAAGGTAATACAACCAAGTGACACAAATAATTGTCATAGATCGTATTTCAGATACTGCTACGCTAGTTTATATTCTTTGTGTACATAGCGGCGTTTCAATAATACTGTAATATCTAGTAATCTACTGGGACTAATTTTAGCAGGGGATTTTCAAAATCTGATTTCCTGAAATTATTTATAAACCACGTATCTGAAGAAATTAAAAGTGAATTCTGGTTTATGTCAGGTGTCAGCTTTCAATAGCATTTTGGAGGTGCAGTCAGCTGTTCAATTGGATTGACATTCGACATGGTTATCAAACTAGACATTCTGGTGTTCATACGCTTACTAAGTACCACATATTTTGGAATACTGTGATCAAAGTGAGCTGTTTACATTTGTACGATTACAATTTTTCATATGTTGAACAAAACACAAGTGATATCAGTATAATGCATGTCTTTTTTACAATTCTGTAGAATAAACTGGCTACAATTTCACTAGTATTTTTACGATAAAATTTAAATACTAAGTAAAAACTCGGAAGCCATTTCTTAAAAGATAAGAAATCTGACTACCAACTCTATAAAAGTGCAAATTCATTGCATTAAAATTTGAACGATATGAAAATAGATCAATATCCTAAGTAGGTATGATTCCAATCAATTTTACTTTTTAACAATAATGATATGACTATTTGAAGCGTGATGTAAAGATTTTCTGCAGACTGATACTAGAAACCTGAATTACTTTCAATGACATAAATATCTTTTGGGTTCCTCTTGATAAAATTAAATACAAATTCATCATTAAAAACACACCAATGCTTTGCAAAAGACATTATATATGACATAAACGAACATAAAAAGGCTTTATAAGGAATACTTTGAAAGCAGGCTATTCAGTTCACTCTTTAAAGGTTTGTCATTGGCACAAAACCTATCCACCTTTGGTGGGATTACATTCAAGAATGATGTGAAAAAAATCTGCAAAATAGGGGAAGGTGAGAAACCTTTCGACAAGTTAGGAACGTGATGCAATAGTCCTAACCTGGTTGTCATAATACAGTACTACAGTGAGGTTGTTAAACTCAATGACTCGATATTATGGTGTACCATTGGAAATAGAAATAAGACGAAATCTGAATATGGCTTCTGATTTTCTTCCTGATATTCAGTAGAGCTTGTCGACAACATACAGAACAGAGTTCTCCCATCAGTTTTCAATTATCAATAAGCTATCCGTATCATCTTTGATATATATATATATATATATATATATATATATACCCGACCGTTATCTGATCCTATTATGTATTTGGTTGGAAGCGATTAAACTGTACAATGATCACACAATATAAAGAAAGTAAACCGAAATATATTGCCGATTCTGACCAAAAATAGGTAATAATACATGTAGGAAACGTTCTCATCTTCCAAATACGTCATACCATAGATGTAAAAGATAGGAATATGGTAATGTTGCTACCATAACGATGTTTATAGCCATTGACCCGAATAATTTACGAGGACTGATATATGGTTCATACTTCATTGTAACAAAGTGACCGGCACAAAATGTTGCCGAAATACTAGATGTGGAGCCACCTACTCTTAGACAAAATAACCATTCCTGAGAATATACTCGAACTGAGTACTGTTTAGAAGTATGATAGTGAAAAGGTTTAAAGCAAACGTCAACAGTAAATATTCCATAAGGACATCAAATTTTAAATGATTTGTATCGTAATTGTGGTGTCATCACAATTCAAGAATCTTGGTTAGACGATTTACAGGACGATTGCTTAGTACCACTACGTGATTTCAAAATTTATCGTCAGTATCGACCAAACAATAAAAAGGTCTGGCGGCGGTGAAGATACGTTTGTGAACGTGAACTGGTGTCGATCTACCTTTGCGTGCTTCAAGTTTTCAAATGACTTTATCGACTGTCTAACACTTAAGATGCCGTCCAAAACATCTGAATTAATACAAATATGTTTGTGTTACTATCATTTACGTGACTCCAGACTGCACATCATCTGCACTATCTGAGTTCGCTGTTATTGCCCTCAATGATTCACTTAAGTTGTATGTGGTGATTTCAATCTATGTGACTTTGTTTTCACTAATGATGTGGGTATATATGTGACTCGTAAACGTGCTCCATTGTCTAGCTCGGATCACTGTATAATTCGTGTTCTGCCTAAAGTATATGGAAAGCATGGAACGAGTACACTCTTACATCAAGTCAAATATAGGAATTACTCAGAAAATACTTGAAATCTGAAAAACATGTTTCGTACGACTAACTGGGAATCACATTTACAGATGACTCACTGGAAAACACTACTGATGTTGTCACTTGGTACCTTAAATTCTGCCTTGATATTTGTTGTCCCACTGAAACCATTTTTGTAAGTTCTGATGGACTTACATCTTCACAGCTAAAACGACTACGTAGGGTAAAAGGAAGAATGTACAAGGAGAAAAACTCGTAAGCTAAATGGTCTAATAAACCTAGAGATTAGACGTCTCAACTCTATGTTTACTCAAAAACTCCCCAAGAATGTGGAAACTTTTTAAAGAACTTACAGGTGACAGGCACATTGGAAGCGATAACCAGCTGAATGTTTGTGACCTAGATAAGTTTTTTGTACGTCAGTCATCGGATGTAATGCTCCCTATATCCACAAGTCTGAAGAATAGTTGTGTTCCTAGTTTCACTGAAACTGATGTCCGAAGATGTCTCCAGTCACTTACTTCATCCCAATGTTTATGACCTGATGGTATCCCAAACCTCTTTTATAAAAAAAACATGCTGACGTTCTATGTTATCCATTCACGAGTATCTTTAACAGATCCTTCTCAACTAATCTCATACCGAAAATGTGGAGAAAGACAAAGATAATCCCTATACCTAAGAAAGTATCTGGTGATAAAAATGTGAAACTTAGACACGTAGCAATAAATTTACTTTTCCTCAAAACAATGGAGAAATTATTGATACTTCCACTTCAACCTGCGATAAAAGAGCACATTGGTCCGTACCAGTTTGCTTACAGATGCAAAAGTACCTTAGTTGCCATTGCTGTTCTGCATCACAATATAGTATTCAGTTTTGAAGAGGGTAAGAAGTATGTTCGATGCGCTTTTCTGGACTATACTTGTGCTTTTGATTCTATACCAAGACCACGTTTACTTAACAGGTTAATCAGCGTCAACACTGACAGTTGGATAACAAATTGACCATGTTCCTATCTCTCTGGAAGCGACCAGTTCACTGTGTTTGGCGGAAAGTGTTCAGTCTCTAGTGTCCCATGAAAGTGTACCACAAGGAGCCGTTCTTTTACCTCTTCTTTTCTCTATTTTTCTGCATGATCTGCCATCTTCTACGGAAAACACTTCTGCGAAATATGAGGATGATCTCACTGTATGTATGCCTATCTCTTCCTCTTTACATCCCATAGGAATAAGTGAGTTTTTGTCTCGTATCGATTGTTGGTCTGGTGTTAATGGTCTCAAACTTAATCTGTCTAAATGTCAAGCTGTTACCTTTGGCATAAGACATGAACGGCATCTAAACACCATTTTAAGATCCCATAATGCTTGTGCCATTGGACACTCTTTGATAAACACAGTGTCGAAGGTCAATTATCTTCGTGTTACTTTTTCCTCTGATCTCTCTCGGTCTTCTCATGTTTTACTGTTATCGAAGAAAGTTTTCCGTCTGACTTACTACATGAAGAGACTACATGCTTTTGGGATTACTCGCCATTTACTCTTACAGTTTGTCAACTGCATATTGCGTATTATTCTTTCCCGGGCTTTTGAGAAAAGGCTTTGCTGTATTGCGGAGAGTGCTGAAGGCAGTTATCAAGGTGTGTGGTGAATCTTCCGAGGTCATAATTAATATGGTTGTGGATAGAAATCTAAAGTCATGCAAACTCCTGGCAGGTGTTATCTTATCAAATATTACCCATCCTCTTCACTCATATCTTTCCCCTTGTATATCTTCTGGTAGAACGAGACGTAATTACATTGAAATCCATGCACTCAAGCAAAAGTATAAAATTTCTATAATACCTTACCTAGCAAATATACTCTGTGACGAACAGGTTGTTAGAGTTAACTTAGTCAATAACCTGTATTCTCAAACATGTCTCTAATTTGGAAAGTTGTACAGTTTCAGATTTTTTCACCTTTTACCTTTCTTCTTTTGTTATTGTCTTTTTTTTGTAGAAGAAACATGTTGAAATACTTTGTTCTGAGAATTCTATATTGTACCAAAATATAATATTGAATAAAGCCATTAATAATAATACTAGTTGGTTACCCAAACGGAAATAGGTGAAATGAGGTTTGAAACTGACTCAACGGTTTATAGTCAATTGTGGTAACTATCGCGGCATTAAATTATCAAGGTAGTGCAGTGAAGCTTCATCAATTGAAGTATGTAATTAGACCAGAACTTTGTTTCAGAATATCAGTATATGACAGGTACTTAAGTTACTATGCGCTCACAACCAAATGACTCTCAAGATTGATAGTTAATATTTATGACTGCTTCCTTTCTGTACGAAGCAAAGTGTTTCATAACGAACCAGTGCACAGGAATTGAGATCTACCACTAGAGATGTGAGCTCTTTGACTGTAACAACCCAGAATTTATTACTCTTAAATTCATATCATCTTTCCGAACGCGTAGTTCAATTACACACATCTTTTAGGTTCAAGAAAATGTGTGCCTAAAGGATTTCAGAAATATCGACAAAGAATGTGATTATCAGAACTTTGTATTTCATTAAGTAATGTACAAGTGAATTTTGTATTCACAGCTATCTTGTGTGCACTTACAGGAAAGGTACTTTCGAGTTAGTTCGAATGATAACTAAACTAGATATTTCTGCAGGTTATACAAATACATAACATTGAGTTAAGTGGGTTAAATAGGAGTGCAACACTCAAGACACTTCATTCTTTTTCGGAAATGTTGGATCATTTAAATGGAGTTTTTAGGCGGATCAGGAGTCTTGAAACGCATCCATGCAACTAGAACACGATCCCAAAATGCGCCGAATGAATCTAATGCAGGTCGTACATCCAGAATAGCGAACTGATATGCTTCATTCACAGAACCTCCATCATAATAATCAATTACATAACGTACTTCTTTACCGCATCGATCGATCACCCAATCATGACGATCGAAAGGTAACTCATAACTGAAAAAGTAGATAAAAAACTTGTTTATGTTTCAGTTTTCCCTACATATAACTATCAGAACAATTTTAAGAAAAAAATGATAAAAATCCAAGCTAAAGGTCACTAACAACAAACTCCATTCATTGTTTCACCTTGCGTACGTAGTTCAAACTACTCTTACTGCACTGGTACAATTATCTTCACTGAATTAGATTCACAGTAAAAAAAGAGATGCTGATTATTACCTTAGTAATTCACAGTGTACGCATCGTACAAAAATCTTTCGAATTCTGTCAATTGACATTTATAATATTTGTGTCCATTCACTAAACATCTGACATGTAGTAAAAAGATGATGCAAGTGTAAATTGAAAACAATCTCAAAAAATCAGAGATAACATTGACTTGTGTAGTGATTGACTGACACATGAAACACTATAATAAATTCAAATAAGTCAGTCAGCAACAACGTAAAACTTAGTACGTACATACACCAGTTGAAGTTGCCATACCACATTAGCAGAGATACAATTGTCGATTTAAATCCCGTAGTGGTAGAGGTAGTAAAAGTATAAGCATCGAAGTCTTGGACGATGGACAGAATTTTTAGAAGGACGGTTCAACCGGCCTGCTGCTCCGGCAACATCGGTCAGACTGTCCTGCCCTCCATGGCCGGTGACGACTGATCCACCAAATGAGGCGGAAGTCCGCAAGGAACTTCAACTCTTGAAGCGCTACAAATCACCTGGCCCAGATGACTTACCTCCGGCTCTTTTTAAGGATGGTGGTGACTTTCTGACTAAGGAACTGACGACGTTGTCTACAAAGGTTTGGGAGCTAGAGGGTGTACCAACGTCATGGAATGAGCCGATAGTTGTCCCTATCTTTAAAAAGGGTTCACGTCGTTCCTGTAACAACTATCGGGGGATAAGTTTACTTCCGATTGCGTCCAAGCTATTGGCTTCCGTCATACTTCGTAGGTTGTTTGAAACCCGAGAAAGATCAACTAGCGAGGAGCAGGCTGAGTTTCTTTCTGGTCCGCCAAATGTTAGAACACCGCCATACTTATCAAAGGCCAACAATCGTAGTGTTTCTTGACATCAGGGCTGCCTTCGATTCGTTGGATAGGACTGTTCTCTGGGATTGTCTATTGAAGAAGGGTGTGCCTGAGAAGTTTATTAACATCCTAAAAGCCCTATGTACAAACACCTCAGGCAGAGTGAGGGCATACAACCACCTCTCTCCATTGTTCCATTCGAGCAGTGAGGTTAGACAGGGTTGCCCAATCTCACCATTCCTCTTCAACTTTGCCATCGATGACATTCTAGAAACAGCTCTGATGAATGTAAGTAATGGCGGCGTGGATCTGTTGTCTGGAGAAAGACTTCTCGACCTTGAGTATGCAGACGATATTGTCTTACTGTGAGATAACGCTCAAGCCATGCAATCCGCACTTAATCAGTGTCCGTAGGTATGGTATGTGCTTTGCACCTTCGAAATGCAAAGTACTTCTACAAGACTGGCAGGATCCTAATCCTGTACTCACCCTGGATGGTGAGCAGATAGAAGTAGTCGAGAAGTTCGTGTATCTGGGTAGCTCCATAAGTGCTGGTGGGGGTGTGAGTGATGAGATTAATGCACGTATAGCGAAAGCCAGAGAAGCTTATGCTAATCTGGGCCATCTTTGGCGCCTTCGTGATGTTAGTCTGGTTGTAAAAGATCGGATCTACAACGCGTCGGTGAGAGCAGTCTTGCTCTATGCTTGTGAAACTTGACCTCTCCCAGTTGAGAATGTTAGGCGACCTTGTGCTTGATCATCGTTGTCTCCGAAGGATTGCTGACATCCAGTGGCAACACTATGTTAGTAATGCAGAAGTTCAGCATCGTGTGTTCGGGCACATAGACGATAATGCAATTAGTGTCACCATCTTGAAACACCGACTCCGGTGGCTTGGACATGTTCTACGAATGTCGTCCCAGAGAATTCCACGTCGTGCATTATTTGCCGACTCTGGGACTGGTTGGAAAAAGCGGAGAGGTGGTCAGTATATGACATGGTGTCGTGGGATGAAAGAAAGCTGCAAAGGACTGGCTTCTGTTGGTCCTTCACGACTCCCTGGCTGGGGTCCGAGAGATGGTGCAACACAGTGACTAGAGACGTTATCAGATATGGCTCAGAATAGAAGCCAGTGGCGATCCTGCTGTAACCTTCTTTTACTTTCTTCATAAAAAAAGTGGTTTTGTCTTCCTTAACTGAACGATTTCCTCTGATTGTACCTTTCCGTTCCCCCATTTTTACCATTATTATTATAACACCACCTTACATCAATCTCTTCGTTATTATTCCCTTTTTTTCCTTCCCCTTAAATCCTCATTGTTTTGTGTGGCGCATTCTTGTACCAATATTTATGTGTTCAAATAAATAATAAATACCATTCGAACAAAGCTAAGTAAAGAATTTATCCAGTTTTTTGACATGAAGACCAAGAATAAAACCTAAAAGTCAAGTTTTAATTTCATTAGCATGAGAATGACCTATGAAACTAGTATTTTTGAATAACCTACATGTCAAGTGACCCTTTTGTTACGTTCACCTTTGCTTCAGAATACTTTGTGTATCACCATGCTATTTGATGATCATAATAAAAAATTAGTCTCATGGAGTTTGTGTTGTCCTTTGACAAACAGCCTATCGTTTTCGGAAATCGTACATTGATAAGTTGAGTATCGTAAGGAGTTATTAGTATTTTACTGTCCCCATTTTAACAGCCCAAAGGTAACTCACCACCAAAAACCCTTATCATAATACTTGTAACCAAAAAAGACTTTTTTTAATATGGTGTAGATTTGTGTGCTTAGTATTAACCTATAAATGTGAGGGGTAATGATACTATCCAGTTGCCTAAACCAAAGTAGATAGGAACAGGTATGATTATGGGACTTAGTGGTGGGACGTTGAACTCCTTTACCGCTAAGCCAACGACCCCAGCCAAAGCATGACTTCATTTGAAAACCAATTATCAGTTGCTTTTGGACTTATTAGCTTTTAGGTTGATGCAAAACTATCTCTGAATGTCTAAATATTTAAAAACTTTCTTTACTAATTTTTATTTTTCGCTCATTTATCAGGTGTACACAGTGAACTTCATATCTTGAGCAGTAAATACTGGTTATGAAAATGACCTAAAGTTGTTCACAAAAACAGTACATACCCCATGGCCCGACGAATACGTGCTCTTGGAGAATAGTTTTTTGCATCTCCAGCAAAACGACGCAATTTCGGTGTCATACATTCACTGGAACAAAGTAAACCAAAAAGAATGTAAAATATTAAAAAAGCTGGGTTTTGGCTAGCAATGAAAACCGAGGAGTGAGTTTCGTCCTACATCCGAGTTTTTGTGTTCACATATATTTAAAGCTCGTACCTATTGCTTCAAACGCCGAGTCTCAAATAGGACGAAATGTATATCCTGTTTTCCATCGCTAGCTACAATTCCACTTGACTGAATGACACATGCAAACATAGACTGATTAAATGTTATCCTTAATATCAGCAAAGCGAAGATTTAAACTCTTACAAATAACCAATTAATTTTAAGATATGTTCATATGTGAACAAGAAAGATTAAATTAGTGTGTTGAACATTTAGTCTCGAAATTTACCTACAAATACATAATTGACGATATTATCTTAAGATAAAAGAAAAATAACAAATCACAGTATATTGATTACATTAATTATGTCTCATAACAAAACTTTCTACAATACAATTAGTAAAGGTTGAACATTACGTAATGAAAGCAATACGGTAAAAAGCAGTCTTGTTAGTCAAGAAAAAAAATGTTGAAACTATACGAAGACAAACTAAATAAGGTTCTCGTGACATTTCAGCTTGTCCTAATATGTTCATATGAAAAATAAAAACAATGAGAATGATGATTACCACTGAAAGTCATAGTATTAGAAATTCCACACATTTACGCTGGATGAATCTGACTGAACATATTGAAGAGTAATAAAATGGGATAATGCCCTTAATAATATTACGGTAGTTTTACTGTAATGAGCGTATATGCGAAATCGCACATTGGATTTGTAAAATAAGAAAACGATAAATTGAATAAATCATTTGCATATCTTCCTTGGATTGTCGCTTACAAGTTCCATAGTTCTTTTATTCTCGTTGCTACTTAGACTGTTTTTGTTTTCCTTTTTTTTCTTCTTATTCCCCTCTTCTGTCCATAGGAATTTTAATTTCAACTCCTGGTACATATTACTTATATCTGTCTACATGAGTAGCACACACTACACTATAAAATAAAACTTACTTTCCAAATAGCCTAGGAATTTGTATCAAAATGTCCACCATGGGAACTTATATGGTGCCAAAATAAAATAAATTCAAATCGGTAAGGCGTTGCATGATAACTTAAAGCTGAAAACAAAAAGCCTATCCTTCGTATAAAACCCAGGTGTTATAGAACTGATTTATACGCATAATTTGCTTGATGCAAGAAATATAATAATTAATTATAAGTACGGCAGAGATTTTTAACACGATAAACTGACAATTTATTCACAAGTTCTACCTTCACTTTATCCCAACCGTAGCTGCTACCTAGACGCGGTGGTCGGGCTTGCCTGTCGTAATGACCCAACCGAGCTATATTGGCTGGAACATATGTTCCTGTAGGTTCTACCATGCCAGGCAGGTCGATTGGAGAACGGTAAGACTACAAGCAGCAACTCAAGGTCTGAGGGCGAAGTCGTACTGCTGACTGTAGAGAGGTGTGACAGCAGTAAGGTGTTTCCCTCAGACAACCAGCATCTGCAGCAATGCTGCCTTCCCACAAGGAGGGGTGGGATTAGAAAAGGTCGACCCTAAAAATGTCACACCTCACCTTACCTCACGGATTTCCGTTTCCGGCGGTAAAGCCCTTTGAAGGACGGAGCTAACACATTAAAGACCTTCCACGAAAAGGCCGTGCGAGACCGGCCTCAAGCAGTTGTCCCTTGGGCTCTGCGGTCACGCTCCCAGGTCTTTAAGATCAACACTAATCCAATTTCCTTTTCAGGTTCCTCAAGAAATACCCTTCCACGGTGTGGGCAGCCGGGAGGTGACACCAGCCCTCATATCCGTAACAGCACACGAGACCAAGTTGGTCACAGTCAAATCCTTCCCACACCTCCTAAAAACTCTCTTATCTCAACGACTAACCCTCCTCACGTCTCTTTATCACCTCACACCGCTAAGGCAAACGATTCGAGTACGCGGGACGTTATTCCTGGTCTCCTGAAACCACGCTCTAAACTACACGTAGGAGCTTTTAACGTCCGAATACTGTGCCAAATAGGACAACAGGCTTCCTTAGTTAGGACTTTAGAATCTCGCGCCATCGATGTGTGCTGCGCCTCTGAAACGCGCATACAGGATCCGAGTAGCGTCATTCATTTGACCTCACCATGTCAAAACAAAGAACCATTTCGATTCACGCTTCGTGTATCTGGAAGCCCTGATGCTGCTTCCCGTGGCCTCGCCGGCGTAGATATAGCATTGAGTCCTAGGGCAGAACTAGCTCTCTTAGAGTGGATCCCAGTAGACAGTCGTTTGTGCGCTGTCCGACTGAACGGAACAATAAGGACTCGGAAAGATAGAGACACTCGTCGTTGCCTTTTCGTCGTCTGCCTATTCTCCCACTGACTGCAGCTCAGATGATGTAAAATATGAGTTTTACAGAAAGCTCTCCGACCTTCTCCGAAAAGCTAGGCGCTCGGATTTAGTAATAATGGCCGGTGACTTTAATGTTCAAGTAGGTAAACTAAGCGAGAGGGAAAGACACCTGGGTGGATCTTATAGCATCGTGGCTCAAAGAACAGATAATGGTGACCGTCTGTTGCAGCTATGCTCAGATACCCACCTGTTTCTTGCAAATACTATATTTAAGCATAAGGGAAAACATCTTTTGACATTGCGACCACCGAATTCGTCCCAACGTTGGACGCAAATAGACCATATCGCTATCAGCCACCGATAGAGGGGCTTGGATTCAGACCATGCTCTAGTGCAAGCGCGTATTTGTCCGCGTCTTACTGAACGTAGGAAAGACACTACAAGGAAACCTCTTATGGTCCTACCCAATGATAGCCAAGCTAAGAATATATTTCAGGAACAACTAGAAAAAGTTAGGCAGCTGTGTAAGTGATGCCCATTTCAAAGCAGCGTGGAATGATATCCGGAAAGCTGTGGAAACAAGTGATATCTGCTAGTAAGGTAAATCATAAGGTTAGGGGAAGATACTGAAACTCAACAGCATCTACCGCACTGACAGACGCTCGAAAAATCATCAAATCTGGATCTGAACATGAGAAGAGCGGAGTCAGCTTAAGCGCAGACTGATAAGAAGTCTACGCAATGATCGCCCCCAAATGCCCTGACGCGCCAAAGAGTGAGAAGAGTCAGCTCTCCCTCTCGAAATGCTCTCACGTGACCAAGCTCATGTTATAACTTGTGGCCTGTGTACCCTATTAATGTATAACGTAACGATACTACCAATTAGAGAGCAGTGAATTAACGATCGGACCAATGACGCGTAAACCCGTACGAGCAGTCTAGAGTCCTTGTCGCTCCTTCTTCTTCCCTAGCTCAGCCAGTTAAGTCCAGAACACCAATCTCAGCCTCTGCGATATGAATCATTTATTTCAAATATACTAAGTTTATATACCAACCAGACAGACCACATCGTACCATAAAACAGGAAACAACATTTGTACAAGAATTAGCCTAATGTGGCTGTGAATGAGGGAGGTAGTAATTAATAGACAGGGAATAATTCAAGAATGGTGAATCGTAGAAGAATAGTTTATAGGTCAAAATAAAGCTCATAATAAGAGGGACATGAATATGTGTAGTTTAGTTATTTAACAATTACGATAAAAATATACACATAGTATTGGTCCATAAATGGATCCCAAAAGTTACCCTTCATTATGCTTATTGGGACATAACAGTATACAGCCACAGTCCTACTCAATGCCTTCTCACAACGGGGGTGCTGTTTACGAAATTGAGAGGGCGGAAAGATAATAGCTGGTACTTTAACTGGGTTGGTGGGTATGACAGATTGACCTACAGGAGTTGGAAAACCCTGATCACAAATCAATGGTGTACATGGACTCCATAATCATGAAACAAATGGAATATGAACCTATTGTTGGTCACCGGCTACCATGGGACTGAGTCTCCTAAAGTTGTTCCACTGCCTTGTGGGTTAGACCTCCAGGTCAAAAGCTCGAGATGTGGCCCCCTAGGAAAACGGCCTGCCTCGGTTTGGGCACCCAGGTAATATTCCAGCCCTCACACGAATAAATGATAACTGCTATTGGCCTCATTAACTCCGCCTGTAGCTCTAACAGGGTTACTGCCGGTCCCAAGCCCGGATAAAGGAGGAGGGTTGGGCATGGGGTTAGCGTCCCCATCCCGTAGAAAACTAACTCGCTAAAAAAACGCTTACCAGAAAAAATAATCCAAACCATTTAAACTCTGCCCTGGGAGTTAGAAGGTCTTCAGTTAGAAGAATTATGACGCTTCATGGTGAAAGCCGAGTTCCTTCGGAAGCCACGAGGCCGATGCCCCTTCTAACAACCAGAGCAAAAATTTTTATAGGTACATGGAACGTTCGAACAATGTGGGAAACCGGGAAGACCAGTCAAATAGCAATGGAAATGAGGAGATACAACTTAGCAGTACTGGGAATCAGCGAAACCCACTGGACCCAAGCTGGACAGAAAAGGCTAGCTACGGGAGAGATGCTGCTATACTCCGGTCACGAAGAGGAAAATGCTCCACACACTCAGGGAGTCGCTCTTATGCTGTCCAAAGTAGCACGAAATGCACTTGTAGGATGGGAGTCTCACGGATCCAGAATCATCAAAGCATCATTCAAAACAAAGAAGGAGGGGATCTTAATGAATATTATCCAATGTTATGCACCCACCAATGATAGCAACGACGACATTAAAGATCAGTTCTACGAGCGGCTGCAGTCAATCATTGAGAAATGCCGAAGAAAGGACCTAACTATTCTGATGGGAGATCTAAATGCCAAAGTCGGAATAGACAACACTGGATATGAAGATATTATGGGACGACATGGACTGGGAGAAAGAAACGAAAATGGAGAAAGATTTGCAAATTTGTGTGCATTCAACAAATTGGTCATAGGAGGCACAATATTTCCACACAAGCGTATACACAAGGCTACATGGATCTCACCGGACCACACTACAGAGAACCAAATAGATCATATTTGCATCAACAAAAAATTCCGAAGGACAATGGAAGATGTGAGAACCAGGAGAGGTGCTGACGTAGCTTCAGATCACCACCTAGTTGTAGCCAATTTAAAACTGAAGCTGAAAAAGAACTGGACAATGTGGTGGACAGCACTACAAAGGTTCAATACAGCCTTCCTTCGAGATACTGACAAACTCAATGAATTCAAGATAGCTCTCAACAACAGGTTCCAAGCCTTACAAGATCTACTGAATGAAGAAGAAACTACTATGGAGGACAACTGGAAAGGCATCAAGGAAGCATTAACTTCAACGTGTCAAGAGGTTCTGGGCCTAAAGAAACACCATCATAAGGAATGGATCTCTATAGAAACACTGGACAAGATCAAAGAAAGGAAGAACAAGAAGGCAGCAATTAACAACAGCCGAACACGAGCAGAGAAAGTCCAAGCACAAGCTGAATACATAGAAGCAAACAAACAAGTGAAGAGGAGCATTAGAGCCGACAAGAAGAAATACGTGGAAGAACTAGCAACGACGGCAGAAAAAGCTGCTAGAGAAGGAAATATGAAACAGCTTCACGATACAACGAAGAAACTAGCAGGGAAATACAGTAAACCAGAGAGGCCGGTCAAAGACAAAGAAGGCAAGCCAATCACCGAAATTCAACAACAGCGTAACAGATGGGTAGAATACTTCGAGGAACTCCTGAATAGGCCGGCTCCAATGAATCCACCGGACATCGAAGCAGCACACATAGATCTTCCTATAGATGTCAACCCACCAACGACGGAAGAAATTAGAATGGCCGTCAGACAAATCAAGAACGGGAAAGCAGCAGGACCCGACAACATACCAGCTGAAGCACTGAAATCAGACATCGAAGCAACCACAAGCATGCTATACCTTCTATTCAAAAAGATTTGGGAGGAGGAACAAGTGCCAATGGACTGGAAAGAAGGACACCTCGTCAAGATTCCAAAGAAAGGAGATCTGAGCAAATGTGAAAACTACAGAGGCATTACACTACTGTCAATACCAGGGAAAGTCTTCAACAGAGTGTTGCTGAACCGGATGAAGGATGCAGTAGACGCCCAACTTCGAGATCAACAAGCTGGATTCCGTAAGGATCGGTCGTGCACAGACCAAATTGCAACACTACGGATCATCGTCGAACAATCAGTTGAGTGGAACTCATCACTATACATCAACTTCATTGATTATGAAAAGGCATTCGACAGTGTAGATAGGAGGACATTATGGAAACTTCTTCGACACTACGGAGTTCCTGAGAAGATTGTCAACATTATCCGGAACTCATACGACGGACTACAGTGCAAAGTAGTGCATGGAGGACAGCTGACAGATGCATTCCAAGTAAGGACTGGAGTCAGACAAGGCTGTTTACTCTCTCCCTTCCTCTTTCTTCTGGTGGTCGACTGGATTATGAAGACCTCAACATCTGAAGGAAAACACGGAATACAATGGACAGCTCAGAATCAATTAGACGATTTGGACTTCGCAGACGACCTAGCCCTCCTATCACGTACACACGAACAGATGCAGATGAAGACAGCCAGTGTAGCAGCAGTCTCTGCATCAGTAGGCCTCAGCATACACAAAGGGAAAACCAAGGTCCTCAAATTCAAGCGGAGAACAGCAATCCAATCACTCTTGATGGCGAAACTCTGGAAGATGTAGAGTCCTTCACATACCTGGGAAGCATCATCGATGAACAAGGAGGTTCAGATGCAGACGTAAAGGCGAGGATCGGCAAAGCAAGGGTCGCATTCCTACAATTGAAGAACATATGGAACTCAAAACAACTTTCAACCAATATCAAAGTGAGAATCTTCAATACGAACGTCAAGGCAGTTCTACTGTATGGAGCTGAAACTTGGAGAACTACAACAACCACAATCAAGAAAGTACAAGTATTTATAAATAGCTGTCTACGCAAGATACTCAACATCCATTGGCCGGATACCATCAGCAATAGCCTTCTGTGGGAGAGAACAAACCAACTTCCAGCTGAAGAAGAAATTAGGAAAAGACGATGGAAATGGATAGGACATACATTACGCAAATCGTCAAACTGCATCACGAGGCAAGCCCTAACTTGGAATCCTGAAGGGAAGCGAAAAAGAGGAAGGCCAAAGAACACATTGCGTCGGATAATAGAAGCAGATATGAAAAGGATGAATTACAACTGGACGGAGCTGGAAAGGATTGCCCAGGACAGGGTTGGATGGAGAATGCTGGTGAGTGGCCTATGCTCCTTCACGAGGAGTAACAGGCGTAAGTAAAGTAAGTAAGTATTGGCCTCATTGTCATTGTGTGGCGCATCTGTATTAGGTGCTTCTTTGTACCAATGTTTATGTGTTCAGATAATAAAGAAGACAGATATGTTTACTCTATTTTCCCCTAGATACTGAGTCTCAAAGTTATTTTAAACCCTATGATTCAGTGGATTTATTCATTATTCTCAAGTTATATTGTTTACGCCTAATCTTTTCTAATACCATTGACACTGTTATCACTTCCACTATTCTAGCATCCGTTTTCATAACTTCCTCTCGTTGTAATGATATGGTGTGGCAACTGATGTACACATGACAGGTTCTACGCTGTTCTTGGCTGGATGACAGATTTAAAACACTTTCAGCCAGTATTAATTACAGTATTTTATTGAAGTATTTTTTTAAATCCTTAAATTCACAATCATTAGCAAACTTAATGAATTATTTGATTCCCATTATAACTACTAACTCCTGAATTGTGAAGACCGATATGATTGATTGTTATAAAATTCAGTAAGCAATTAGAGATAGACAATTACCGTATTCATTATTATACTTAGTGATCAATGTGAATATCTATGGATTATACTTATAAACTCGAACACAAGTTAGTTGATTAGCACATAAATTAGTATGTGCTAAAAAAGTAAATAAGTTTCATTAAACAAAAACTTGTAATTTGAAGGAAAATTCAGTGTATAATTAAGAATCATCTTAACCGTAATTTTCATACTTAATTTACATAACTACATGGTAAATTCGTCAAGTCTTCCATAAAGTAAGACCAAGTTGGGTTGCCTGAGTTCATTACGATCTCATTGTTGACAATGTAGATTAGGAAAAAAAAACCGAACAATACATCTGTAAACGACAGCAATAAATAATCCTTCGTCAAAAAATAAGTGAATCTGAAAAATACATCCAGATTATTTTTAATGACCACGTTTAGCTGTCAAGAAGTGGTTGAACAAAAAGAGACAGAGTTGACACCAACTTAAAAATAAAAAACTTTATCACATGGGCTGTTATGAATTTAAACAACGACTTATCTACCAAAATCTAAACAATCCGGTAGAATCAATAACCATTATTCAATAGACATAATTCACAGCTTCGAATATGGAATACTTGCACCGAATTGGTGAAGTATGTTATTTGTGTCATTCATTTATAGTACAAATACGTTCACATGGATTCTAAATACTGACTTTTATACATTATAAAGGGTTCATCGTGAATAGTTCAAAACGTGTTTATAGAATAACAGAAGCTCGTATCCAAAATTAATGACCAGAAGTTAGCAGGGCCTAGAAAAAATACGCATCGACTTAAATTGTTACATCTCTCTTCAGTTAGAAATCGACTTGATGAAAAGCAAAGAAAGTGCATCAATATTATAGATAATGTTAAATAACTAAATGTAAGAAATATAGCTCAGTTATTATAAAAAGCTTAATATACTGAATTCCATCACTACTAATAGGAAAATGAGCCTAGTTTTTACTTCAAGAGAATTCACACTTACTTAGCATGTAGAGCCTCCCATTTTAAAACCTCACGCCAAGCTAATTCATTATTTATATTATGTATTCGTATGATGTTGTTCATATCTTCAGGTTTGATATCATCATCCCGCCAACGCCAACCTTTACGAAGCATAGCGTTCCAAAACATTTGAGGTGAAGGATATATCCATTTTTCACCATCAGATCGATCTGCTTTTGGAATAGAAGACAATTCGCGTTCAGTGGACAGTGGGAAAGGTTGTCCAGGACTTGGGAGTTGGTTAGGGGGTGGCATCTAAAATACAGCCAATTGGTTTAGAAAAAATAAAATATTTAAACCCATTGATAATGATCAGTAATGAAGATTATCTAACAGCAAGTGGAACTGTTGTCTTAAAAGTAGAAGTCCTAAAGATAGGTTTCTAACTATGAAATATCTTAACGTATAGCATACAACAGCAGTTTGCTAACAAATACCCAAATTTATAACACACAACTCATAATACAAAATCTGTGTGACTGTTGTTCGTCGTAAAGCATAAGTTCGCTCGTCAAATCAAGTCTTTCATGATTAATATAAACGATCAATGCGCTCCCTTGGTTTGTTTTACACACTAACTTAAGAAACGTCTAGTATTTGTGACTTGGTCAATTTCATTGTTGTCTTATATAGTAGCTTCCTCAAGTGTTTGATGAGTAGGCTAGTTTATGAACTAAATTAGGCGATACAATACAATCTAGATTTGAGTTCAACAAAGTCAGGAGCATTTCTTGTTGTGTGTCCTTTATATCCTCACCTGAGGCAACCAAAATTGAAAACAACTACTTAGCTAACTTGCGAGTTATTCAAGGTCACCAAACGCACTGACACGGCTGAGAGTGGGAAGAGTCAGCTCTCCCCCTCTAAATGTCCTCACATGGCCACGTGCTTACAACTACTCGCTGCCTTCTCGTGGCAAGGGTGTTGCTTACGAAATTGAGAGGACGAAAAGCGAATGTTCGACGCTTTAACCGGGTCAGTGGATATGGATGATTCACCTAGGAAAGTTGGAAAACCCTGATTCCAAACCAATGGTGTACATGGGCTCTAGGATCCTGAGGGAACAAATGGCGTGAAACAACGTTAAGAGATTCAGTTCCACGGTAGCCAGTAGTCAACAATAGGTTCGTGCGCCATTTGTTTCTTCAGGATCCTAGAACCCATGTACATCACTGGTTCGGAATCGGGGTTTTCCAACTCCTATAAATGGATCCTCCTCACCCATTAACCCAGCTTTGGAGCCGGGCGTTTAGTTTTCGTTCTCTTGATTTTGTAAACAAGATCCCCACCGCGAGAAGGAAGTAAAACTTTCCTGAAAGTGGCTGTACATGTGTGGACATATGAGAATATTGAGTGACAGAGAAGCCTACCAACATACATTATGTACCTACACTTTGAAGCAACTTGAAACATCCGCGAACAGTCTAGAAATGAAATAGGTGAAAGAAAATTAAGAAGAGATGGTATTTTATTAGTGAAACGTATGGTTTAGTGTTATACGTACGACCACGTAAGAGGTCAATAAGTCCACTGTTTAACCTCTTTATTATAGAATGCATAGTCTACTTCACTCGAAATATCTTCCAGTAACCGTGTGAAACATTATCATGGAAGTCGCATTCGCCAACTTTAGATACTGGGAAAATTTCCAGCAGTGATAGTTTTTTATAAGACCTTCTCCTCTACTACCGCAAAATAGGCTAAGTTTATAACAGGAAATAAAAATGATAAGTTAGGCATAATGCCACATAAAATAATAGCGAATGTACCCGTAACGGACAAAAATTACTACAGAAACTGAACACTAAGTTGTTGCTCTTCATGGATCTGAAGCTTTCGGAGCCAAACTTGGAAACAACACCATGATTTGGTTTAAGGGTTTGTGAAGTAATAGTAACCGAACTATGAAGACTGACGATAATTATATTCTACTAGCCAACCCAGTGACTCAACACAGGTAGTTCCAAACAAACTTATTCCCAGAACCTATAGTGGACAGTGAACATTTATAATCTTGCTTGCAAAAAGAGGCCGAGATTACAGGCAGAACCCCAGCAAAATTTATTTCAACAAATGAAAACTTGTCCTTTGTAGGCGCTTGGTATAAAAATAAGATTCATGAAATACTAAAGACATGGGGAATATGAAACTCACAAGATTGTCTGGACTGAGGTTCTTGTATCCATGATTCATTGGACATCCATCACTTTTCCCAATAGGACATTCACTCGGTATCTCCTTTTCTTGACCCACTTGCTGACTCCGAGAAGAAATCAAGCCCATTACTTCAGCCTATAGTCGGACGACCCTACACAGAAAGAACCTTTAGTGAACAAAACAGCGAACGGAGTATGGATTCACTTAAAAATGTGACCTCTGTATATCTATCATTTGCACCAAGTCACCTGGGCTATTGATGTAGAAACATGAAGGGTAAGTTTCATTCAAAATCTGTGAGATTTATGCTTTCGAGCTTAAGTTCCATACTGATAGAAACGTGCGAGCTTAACCGAAATCGACCAACAATACATCAGTTTCTGTTGCCAAATAACTGTTGGTTAGTGGATGGACACAGGAATCTCATCAAAACGGCTAACAGTATATTTCCACGACGACCCTTGTCCTGTAATGTTTCTTCTCAATTGGCGGTTGAGTACAATATACTCGAGGTCATTCAAATGAGTTTTTATCCCTACTCACTTAGTTTTAGTCGAGCCCAAAATTGTGGATCTCGGCGTAACTCAATTAGTAAATGCTAAGTAAACGCTTAGGACCAAAAGTGTCCCGTGATTGCCTCTTCTACTACTTCTAATGACCAAACAAATGCTTTTTCGGACACTTAATTGTTGCATGTAACCTTTCAATATACCATCATAATTTCTCAACCTTGAGAACCCTATGAAAGAATACGGCCGTTTCATTGTATTTTGATCGATTTTAGAAACGACTTTCATGTGAATCCAGGTGTTCGCTTAACTAACAAATGCTTTCGTGTTCTGAAATTTTTGGGACTACCGTCAGGTCTACTCATTCCACGAACTTTGATCTGACCAAATTTGTTGGTGTGAATATGTACAAACATCTTAGACTGTTTGACCTTCTTATTTGTCTAAGGAATCCACAACCAATAACAGACCACAGTAGCGCTTACTAGGAAATACGCAACTAAGGACTAGACAAGCATGACATTGATCACCACCCAGTGTTCAATCAATTGTGATTACATCTCAGTCCTACAGGAGGTTAGTCACGGCTCGGATAGCTCAGTGGTAACGTCTCTGACTGTGAAGCTGGGTGACACGAGATCGAATCCGCCAGGGAGCACCAGTTCCCTCAAGATTACAGGTACACCTTGCTGACGAGTGCCAAGTAGCAAGAAACCCGGGTCCAGGGTTTCCTGTTGACTACCTCCAACCACCATCTAAATCTCAATACATAGTGCCCGCAGTGTTGAGTCACCTAGACTGGTGGCCACATTGCAACATGATCGATAGCATTCGATCTGCACTAATAAGGACTAGACAAGCATGACATTGATCACCACCCAGTGACCAATCAATTGTGACGCAACTATTTCGGAATGTTTCAACATCTAATAACTTTATAACAAGCTAGTATAAACCGATGAATTTCCTCGCCATCACTTCTTACTGTTTCAATACGGTTCCGGGTACTTAGCAATGTTTGATGTGTGGCAGCCTAGTCACTTGACCACTGATTCTCGTCATTTTGTGAATTTGTATATCTTGTGAGTCAAATGAGTGCATTTGTCTCAGGGAAATGTTTCTGGATACCAGAAGCTAACACATTAACAGATAGGATATTGGTCGGCGGAAATGGAAGAAACGATAAACAGGAAATGCAAATGCTTTGAGAGGATTGTTTCAAGCATAAACAATCTACTTAAATGCTAATTTGTAAGAAGACGGAACTTAAGGAATAAGATGAGAACAAAAATTATAATGGGGGAGATGAAAAGTAGTTACTGGTATGCAGTAATAACAACCATGGTAACTTATAAGACGTACATTAGACACAGCTGATACAACAGTCAGACGGTAATCCATGAGATTGTATGCGCCGGTTAAGTCTCTTCTTATGGTCATCCACTAAGGGGGCTGTGGTTACTTTGGCTGAAAGTGCATTCCAAATGGCAACAACTCTTAATGTGAAAATTTGAGAGCGTACCTGTGTGTGCGCTCTATGATGTGCAATCTTTAGAGGGTTGCCTTGAAGAGCGTGGTGATGACGTTCCGATATTATCTTCACGTTTGGGTGGTTTGGAGTATTTAATGTGTTGTGTGTCATTATCAGTTAACCTCTTATTCTCCTGTAGCTCGGCAAAAATAACCCCAGATGTTAGAGTATCTTTCCGTGAGATTTATTTTGAATCCATTCACCCACTCGGTTGCCCGTCTCTGCACCTTTTCCGGAGGATTTACATGTCTCTTGATGAGAAAGGATGCGACGATATCGCAGACTTCCAGGTGGGACCGTGTGTACGTTAAAAAGGGAGTGGAGATTAATTCCAGGGTGATTTTGTTAAGCTGTCTTCTTAAAGAGTGGAAAGTTGTGTTCGCTTTGACTGTATCCCTATGTAGTTCGAGCTGGTGTCTAAGCTCTTCGTGGTTATATGCCTGAGACCGCGATTTGAAGAGCCAATCAACAGCGGATTTTCATGGAAAGCGTTAATCGTTTGGGTCAAATGAGTCAGAATGTTCATGACATGACATTTCAACGGGTTGTGTTTGAACCCACTGTCTACTGCATATTTCTCTATTGTATTTAGGTTCTTAAGAGGCCTAGATACATTCATTTCGTTTTGCATGGACCTCCAAATCTTTGCATCGTCTGCATAGACTAGTGCTTCCAATCCAATTTTGTTTAAAAGGTCATTAGTAAGGATCGGGAGCAGGATTGATCGAAGACAGTCACCCTGAAACTCATGATGTGGGGACTCGCGATCTCTATTTACCCTAGTAAGAAAAATCCTGTTCACTAGGTAGTTTGCGAGAAATATAGGAGTGGGAGAGTGAATTCCACCTTTGCAACCTTCACTATGAGAAGTGCGTGTGGTACTTTGTTGAAGGCTTTCACGAAGTCAAGGAATATCACATGAACCTGTATCTTTCGGTGCCAGCAGCTCATACTATGAGAAGATTGAATGCACAGTACCTACCACTAATAAACCTGTGTTGAGCTTCGCAGAGTATGTTGTTCTTTTGACAAGCGTTTCCTCATTTTATCAATGACCAGTTTTTCCATTACCTTAGACATTATTGGAAGTAGCGCGACTGTCTTATAACGAACTTGATGTTCCTTATATACCTCACTGAAGATTTGGGAGAGTAGCCTATTTAAACTTTTCTTGTTTGTTGTTGTGACTCTGGTGAGTGACTGAACGGGTCACATACCACTATGCTGATGGAACCCATACAGTGTTTCAGAATTACAGGTTGTTTGTTGTCACATTCTGGTGACTTTTCTGAGAGCGTGAATTTCAGTTCTCTTAAAACCAAAGCAGGAAATTATCTGCATATTTCCCAAATCATCATATTAGAGTTGAGGGGTATTCCGCGTATGTAGGTTCCTGATGTAACCAGTCGTTGAAGTTGGCATCAAAATCGCTGTCATCTCTAAGTAGGTTGATAATCGCAATTTTCCCTCTAAAAGAACAAATCCCTTAGTTGGTAGTTTTTCTCATAGTCATGAAACTGTAGAAATATTTAGGATTAATTTTAATTTTGGTTGCTAGCTTGACCTAAAACTCTCTCCTATCCCTTTGAACTCTAGTGCTGCATCTGTCTCTTAATGCCAAATAAGAGCTACTGTTAAACTCTTTCAGAAAGTCTGTAGCAGGCTTTCTGTGTCTTACTTAGCTCAAGACCTTCCATTTCCAAGTATATGCTTTCCTTGAAGTACAATGTGTAGAATGGCATTCTGAGTGACGTCCTTCACTTTGTCACAGTGATCACCCGCTGTTAGCCCCCACCACTCTCGTGATCATGGGGCGTGTTGAAGATTATATCTCATCGTCGTGTATTTTACCTTTGTATAACCACGGTGGGAAACGTCCTCGACGCTCCGAATCATCTCGTTTTTGATAACATTAGATATTACTATCATGGTCAGTACTCACTATTGGTACATGGATATCGGTGTCTTTCACTAGAAGATGATTATCTGTTAGCAAATAATTTAATTCACACAGTTTTCCATCTTCACTCGATAGAGTGGGACCACTCCCGTATGCAGCCAATCTCGAACTTCTAATAACCCTGAAAGTCCCCTTAAGAAACTACCATGTAGAGTTTATTTCCTACTTCTAGAAATTCGTGGATGGAATGTTGGCGTCTTCAGCTAGTAGCAATTGGCTGTACTTCAGATGTTGTATCGTTGGTATCGTCTGAATAATTTTATCCTTTGGAGTGTCAGTATCGGTGGGGTCTAGTATGTCCCTTCAACCAAGTACTTTGTACAGTTCGCATTGCGGCAGCACCAGCATGCTTCCGTTACCTAGGTCAGTCCAATACTTTTCGTTATTACGGGTTTTAAGTAACAGTAAATGTATATTAGCACTTCCATCTCTGTCTTTATGTACCCTATAGTACTGAAAAGTGTCACTCCGTGCAAGTCCACTTCGTCATCGATGAGAACATAAAATAGCCATTTTTCTGTCAGGACTATAATCTTCAAATCAAACTAAAGGCACATGTTTTTAATTTCTCCTAATTTATTTCTTGGTCCTCTCACATTGTTTATAAAACAGAATGCTGTTTAAACTGAATCGGCCAGTTTAGCACGAGCTAACCTCTGTAGGTTTTCCACATGTAAAGCCCATCCTATTCAAGAAACTGTGGTCTCTGTGTTCTGTTTTAGGAGTTGAGGCTGTTGCTTTATATTTCTAGGTTGGCTCTAACGACATCTGATGTGACTCCAGAGATCTTTTTGAGCTGTACCAGGTCTAAAGGGCCTTATTTGGGTCCTCCCTGTTCCCAGGGCGTGAGTTATAACGGATGAAGTAACCTGGACGCTTCAAGTATCGTAGTATTGTGAGGGCCTACGATACATGATGGCCAACGCCAGTGTTGCATATCACGTCTGCGAGGTTCGTGAAGACCACCACTCACTAGTCCACGCACTCAGAAATGCCAAGTAGGTTGGGTCCTGGGTGTTTGTTTATAACTTTCTAGTGTCATCTTTCACAAACATCTTATGGGTACATAAGTATCGTGAAGAAACCATTTCGGGTTTCTTCAAAAATGCAATAATACACAATCTTCAATGGTGTTAGCATTATATTTGCTATATCTAAAAAAAGTAATAATAATAGTGTAAGATCCATTTTGAATGTTTTGTGTAATGGTAAAAATCCCTCCATGTATATACTTGCACTTTGTTCCTATTGATCCCCTTAGTTGTACATTGTTGTTTTTTGATTACATTTGAATTGTTATTACTTGTATTTTTTATTTTTGTTTTTCTTACTCACTCACTAAGTTTGTGTTTCTTCCCGAACTGCATCTGTGTTGTTTTACTGGACACTTATTCTTGGCGGTAGCCATATTGATTTGCTCCTCCTTTTGTGTGTTCTATCCAGTCAGGATAGAATAACGTTCATTTGTTGTGACTGGTAATTTTCCCTCATCTTTCATCAACTAATTTATTTATTGTAATTTAGATTTTATTGATTGAACAATTATTGGTTGAATAGCCGGGTGGTAATATTTGTTTAGGTAACGATTTACATTTAAATTTATGATGAATTATAGAACCGCTATTTACCCGATTACTTGTTTTGATTTTGACGGGGAAGGGCGCGTGTCTAACGTACCTGGACGGCTATTCCTCTATCCAAACCTTAGTTTGGATTTTACAAATAGAATAATAATAATTAATCGGGTCTGTGTAATTGAGAAGAATATTGGATTGAGTTTAAAGAAGGAAAGTAAGAAAAATAACGGAATAGAAATAAAGGAGACATGAAATACGCAAATAGGTTGATAGGCGTGCTTATGAACGCAGAACATGAATTAACGACCATCTATATATAGTCAGATTAGTAAAAAAAATTATTAGGAAGAAATAAATTATTATCACAGTACAATATGACGCTAGAATAAATGTTTGTGCAGTTATCGTTTGGAGTGATGCTATGAAAGTCTCAATTAAACAAAAAGGATAACGAAATATCAATATGTATGAGTCATATATGCATAGTGGGGATAAAAAGGGC